AATAATGAGGGAAGTTATGTCAGTCATATCAAAATATTTTTCGAGATCAGATCATATTACTACTTTGTCATTTTATTATATCCTATCTTCTTTCATGATCTCCACAGCTTCCTCTTCATTCGTTCGTTCTACAACAACTTCTCAAAGCCAAAGTATTTCATTAGCTCATCATAAGACTAGAGTTATAAAACGTAAGAGTCGAAGTTTAGTATGGAATTACTTTTCTAAACTTACCGATGCCAATGCATTATGCACACTTTGTCGAGCAACAATAGCACGTACAGGAACTACAACATCTTCATTTATTTATCATTTATCAAGTAAACATCCAGAAAAACACAATCTTATGAAAAAGAAATTAAGATTAACCAAGAAATCTCAATTCACAAGTTTACCGTTAGACAATGAACGGAGTCAATATTTAACACGTTTAGCTGCCGAATTTCTAATTTATAACCTTCTTCCTATGAGTCTTGTCGAATGTCCGAAATTACAAACAATTTTTACTCAAATTGAACCATCATATGGGTTACCGTGTAGAAAATATATGATGAAAACTGTATTGGAAAAAATGTATAATGATACACGCGCACAAGTTGCCAATGAATTGACAAATACTAATGGTAAGTCGTCGATCAATTTTTTTTCTCAAAGTATGTTTATTGCAAGTACGAAAATCGTTTCACTACAAGAACCTCTACTACCTACTGTACCTACCTACTATCGAAACGTGCCGGTTGCCGTTTTTCAAATAACTTTTTAACGAAAGGTCTTAGCGGCCTGCGGTTTTCACCATCGTATAGAGGACATCCTCAAAACGCAAAAAAACGCAAATGTCAAGATTTGGCGTTCTATGATGCCGATATTTTCAAACTTTTTTAACTCGTTTTACGCTAATCCCACGTATGGGTCATTCATTTGAAAAGGGTTCCAGCGTATGCGAACAAAGTCGATGTAAACGTGGTACGGACTCCATGGAAATATCCACGAGCGAACGATGTAATGCATTCTTGGAAGAACTTTGCATTGAATGGCTCATATTTCACTTAATAACCTGTCTTGTGTCAGATAATTGTAGTGCAATGAAGAAAACTGGTGTAATGTTTGGTAGAGGTAAGAATTATAATTACCAAAATATGGAAATGTTTTACAATTTTGAATATATTAATTCAGACTGGTTTGGTTGTGGAGATCATTTAATTAATTTATGCGTTCAAGATGCATTAAAATTATGTGAAATATCGGAAGCATTAACAAGTATTCGAAAAGTGGTATCACGTGTGAAAAATAGTCATTTGGCCAGAGAACATTTTCATCAACAACAATTCCACCTTAGTACGTAGATTCCATAAAAAGCTTAAGGATTAAGATGTCCTGACACAGGAAACTGAGATTAGTGAACTAATGCTGAGCACTGCGGGACATTACACTTATCTTAAAGTCATTCACTATATATGTATACCTTGAAGCCTCTTATTCTATCTGTTCTTATTTAGATTTAACTGAACGACAACTGCTATCGGATGTTGTAACAAGATGGAACAGCACCTGCTATATGCTGGAGCGTGCTATAGATGAAAGAGAATCAGTTACATTATGTTTAGAGGAGAAAAGTTTTCAAAAACATTTAAATCAAGCTAAATTGAGTACAGGAATTTCATGGGATTTACTAACACAGATAAAAGTGAGTTAGATCGTTTATTTCGTTGTACTACTACTATATGCGCCAAAATATGACGCACCCCCTGTGGCTTCTTTATTCTTCGGTCTGGCACCTTCAAGATGCATGAAAACATAGAATTCATAACTCAGTCAAGATTCATCCAAGCTATTTCAGAATATCAAGATATTTTATCTGCACTATACCGTACAGGTCAATAAATGTTTTAAAAACTAACAGACAATAATTTGGCTTTTGGAAAGGTTTCCTGGAAACCGTCGGAACTAAGCGAATATTTTTTATTGATCTTAATTACAGAATCGGATAAAGTGGTTAAAAATTACTGTGTTGGATTCCAGAAATCCGCTGTACTTTTCCAAAGATCTTGTAGAAAAGCGGTCTTCTGAATGTTTTCGTAATATGATTTGGCTTCTGAAAGTATAGCTTAAACTGTCCTTCTTTGATTGCTGAAAGCCACATGTCTCTATCTTTTATTGTTTTTGAGTTATTTGAAAGTCAACCGAGTGCCTTATATTTTGGCGGCGATAACAATAATAATAATAATTTCTTGTTTTTCTGCTTCGTTTCAGTACATATTAAAGCCTTTTGAAACAGCCACGAGAGAATTACCATCTGAATCACAACCAACTATGTTAAAAGTTTTGTCTGTGGTGACTGCATTATTTAATAGTTTGGAACCGGGTCCAAAAGATTCTTCATTGGAACAAAAAGTGAAAAATACGATAAGATCTGGAATGGAAAGAAGGTTTGAAAATGTTTATAAACAAGAATTGCTTTTTGAACTAAGAGCAACCACTGGGTCTTTTTGATCATTCTACTTGTTTATTGTCGAATATGTTTTTTTATGACTTTATTGATTCATAGTAAAGAGGCCAGCGACAGGGTCATTTTAGGCCTAACGTTTAACAATATGTAATCAAGAACAAAGGGAAGGTAAATTGAAATCGGAGGGGAAAGAAGGAAGTAACAGTAAAAATGAAATATAAAATGAATTGAATAAACGGTAAATGATAATGATAGTGGTAGGTCCTGTAGATATGGTGAGTTTATGGCTTATAAATAGAATTAAAAGGAATTAGGCATGCTGCTAGTTTTCAAATCGTCCTGTTCCAGAAATAAAAGAGTTCACAGCCCAAAAAATAGATGCTACCTCATCCTCGCTCCTTCCAGTCTCATTAAGTAATAATATGTCCATGGTGAAGGTTTTTAATAAATTTAGTTTTTGCTTTAAAATTCTTCTTTCATTATTATATAGTGGACAATTAAGAAGATAGTGTTCAGCATCCTCTCTAACACTCCCACATATACACTTAGGCGAGACTACACATTTATGTTTAAATAAATAGTAGTTAAGTGCTGGAAAGTTTGGTTTTATCCTAAAAAATAAAACTTCTGCTTGACGTGTCGAAAATAGGTATGCACCGAGCTTCGAGTTACTCGAAAACTCGAATCGAGCTACTCGAAATTCGAGCTACCCGAAATTCGAGCTACCCGAAATTCGAGCTACCCGAAATTCGAGCTACTCGAAATTAAAGTGTTTTTTTCCTGATTAGGTATGCACCGAGCTGCGAGTTATCCGAAAACTCGAATCGAGCTACCCGAA